TCGTTTTCTGTCACAACGATATGCAAGAGGGTAATATATTGCTACGACAAAACACGCGGAAACCAGAACTAGTTCTTATCGACTTTGAATATTGCTCTTATAATTATCGAGCTTTTGACATAGCAAATCATTTTGTGGAATGGCAGTACGATTATACGGCAGCGGAATATCCTTTCTTTCACGAACGTGCAGCATCTGGTCCTACGAAGGAGCAAAAGGTAAGTGTTGGAGAATGCCGAATCTGTCGAAACATTTGAAAAGAAAGAAAAGAAAGAAAGAAAGAAAGAAAAAGAAAAAAAAAAAGAAAAACAGAGAAAAAAAGGAAAGAAAAGAAATCAGAGGTAAGATCGTCGCGTTTTCTTATCCTTCGTTCTGTCGTCCAACTTGTCTTGCGCCCTCGTCGAAACAAACGAACGAACGAACGAACGAACGAATTACATACATCGCATCGAAAGAGATTCCTCCAGGCATTCCTCATTGTTTATTCCGCGTTTGTCGTACAGTCACATTTTTTTGTTCGATCGCTCGATCGACGTATCAATCAATTATTATATCAACACATTGAAATTGCGTTTTCAGTTTTAAACGGTGATGTTCACAAGGCGTTTGGAAAAGAAATTGTTTCATCGTCGGGGAAACGTTTTCATTGGAAATTATATATATTTTTATAACACGAATCAGATTGTGAAATATTTGTTGGATTTTTCGATCGAGGACGCGATCTTAACGATCGCAAAGATATTACGCTTTCGCCGAGAAATATATCTTGGACGGAAATAAAGCGCGTCGTGTCCAACCAGAAAATGTCCCTTTGTCCCATATTCATCGTCGTCGTCGTCGTCGTCGTCGTCATCGTTATCGTTAGCAACATTGCTGTCGCCGCTTACCGTCACCGCTCCATCCAATCCACTCGCCATTCATTTGTTTTTCTGTTTTTCTCTCTTTTCCATTTTTTCTAGTTTCATTGTCTGTCCAAGGTTGAAAAATTAAAAGCGCAAGACCAAGTTTGATCAAGTATTTGCTCCGCGATGCGCGCGGTAAACTATGCATACGCGGTAAATATATATATATATAT